GAATCCAGAGAGTTAAAATGTTAAATTAAGTTAATTTTGTTGTAACTGGATTTTATTTTGATGCCATGTCTAAATACAATTAAATTAAAATTGTTTATATTTGAGATTGTTTTGATTTAATAATCAATGCGACGCCGCAAACCCCCCCCCAGTGGGCCGCGGAAAAATTATCAAACGTTGACCGGTCCACGGCAATAAAAAGGTTGGGGATCACTGACATAAAGGATACATTTCAATGTTTTCAAGTAGGGTAGCTGCTTTAGTCTTTTGCAGCAAAACCAACAGGATATTCTAGTATCTGCTCTTAAATGCTAAAATGCCAACAAGCTTTATTTGGCATAAACTTTTGTGGGCTGCAGTCCATTTTATCAGACTAGGATCCGAAACAATGGATGTAAGTTCCAGGAAAAGAGATTCCACCTCAACATTAGGGGGAACTTCCTGACAGTGAGAGCTGTTTGACAGTGGAACACACTCCTTTGGAGAGTGGTAGAGTCTCCTTCCTTGGAGTTCTTTAGGCAAAGGCTGGATGGCCATCTGTCAAGGATGTTTTGATTGGAAGTTCCTGCATGGCAGGGGGTTGGACTGGATGGCCCTTGTGGTCTCTTCCAACTCTATGATTCTGTGATTCTACACAGCATCACCTCAGTTGGCATATATTCATACACATAGTTGGAGCAGGAAAATACAATTAGCAAGGTAAGAGGGAAACAGAAATGTAAAAAGTATAAACATTGATCATTACCTTAACTGTCATTAATAAATAATAACTGAGTGGGAGAAAATACTTCTTAGTATTAATGAACTGCTTTTTATGTACATGATGATAAGTCAAAAGGATGTAAAAAGTTAAACAAGACTGTTTGCTAATTACAATAAAATATCTGATCTGTGTGTCTGAAGGAAATCAGACCATGCCTTTCTCCTTAAATTACTGCTGGCTATTCTTACTTTCCTCTGTATCTTGACCTGTGAATCAAGGGCAGTCACTCTCAGCTGCTTCCTATGGTATTTTCCTATGCTTCCTATGATATTTTCATGGATCTGTAGCACTTTGCCAGTAGTGAAAAAATCATAGCAAAAAAGTACTGATACTGCAGGAAGTGCTTATCCATGACAGAATGTTAATATTGATGTTAGTATTATTTTTATTATTTAATTTGTAGGTAAAAGGTAAAGTTATTCCCTGTTGACAAGGTTGTCAAGTAGTCTCCGACCATAGGGGACACTGCTTATCTGCGTTACTAAACCGAAGAGACAGCATTGTCTGAGACTACTCTGTGATCATGTGGCCAGCATGATTGCACAAGATGCTGCTTACCTTCCCACCGAAGTGGTACTTATTGATCTACTTGCATTTGCATGCTTTCGAACTTCTAAGTTGGCAGAAGCTGGCCCATCATGCAGCACCTGGGCCTCGAACTGCCAACCTGCTGATCTTGCAATCAACAGAGACAGAGTCTTAACCACTTGAGCCACTGCATCCCTAATTTAATTTGTAATTTAATTAATCACTAATTTAATTTGTACTTCACTAAAAATGTATATGCATATTTTGCATGATTGTGGTGGTGGTGGTGGTGTGCCTTCAAGTCATTTCTAACTTAAGGTGACCTTATCTATCCTGAGATATTCTTAGTAAGATTGGTTCAGAGGTGGTTTGTTCTTGACTTCCTCTGAGGCTGAAAGAGAATGACTTACCCAGGGTCACCTAGTGGGTTTCCATGGCTGAGCAGGGATTTGAACCCTAGTCTCCAGAATCATAGTCCAACTCTCAACCCACTACACCATGCAGCTCTCATTAATCCCCACAACAACTCTGCATGGTAGGTTTGGTGAGAGGAAGTGATGGCCCAAGGTTAAATGAAAACTTCTATGATCAAGAAAAGGGTCTCCCTGTTACAAATCCAGCACATTAAACATTACTCTATATTGGTTCTCTCAGATCAGTTGTAACTGCAAAAGAAGGTATGAAGATTGAGGCACAGTGGAAGAGAAAATGCAGCAAATTAATTACCTAATTTGCACAATCAGAAGGTGAGTTAGAGTATTTTTCATAATTAGAATAGTTTGCATGATATGCAAATTGGATGCCTGGATTTGAGGAAGTAGAATATTTGTTGTACCATATTTTGCCTTCTATATGTTTTGGACTTCAACTCTCAAAAGTCCCAGACACTGTGACCAATAGTAAGGGATTGTGGGGATGTATTCTAAACATCTGACAAGCCAAAGCTTCCATACACCAATATATGGCACTGGCTATCAGAGGTACATAAAGTAATATTTAGGCCTACAGTTAGAGCAAACATGTGAAGCCTTTAATCATTAACTGAATGAACTATTCATCATTCTTTGTCCTACGTGCAGTTGAGTCTGTCTGGGTATTTCAATAACGCTGACCTCTCTGAGATAAGAAATCTCAGGAGACGTAGGATTTCCAAACTTATCCCAAACCCTGAACTCTAGTTTAGCTTTGTAATATACTCTTTCTTCCCTGTTTTATATACAAAGGAGGGGAGAAAAAAACTTGTCACCCATCAGAACAATGTACATGCTCCATTTGAAAGGTAACATTCTGTGTCAGGTCAAAACAATCAATCTGACTATGCTTCAAAGTCTGGATGTGTTAGATAAAAGTCAGGGAGGACAACTAATACAAATAAAATGAATATATTTATATCACATCAAACTGCTGCCATATGCCTGTTTCTCAGCATGTGTGTATAAATGACCCTTCTAAAGAAAGCATTTTGCACATTTCTTTCATAGAGGAGAAAACAGACGACAAAGTTGTTTAGCAATCTTTTTTAAAAAATAAAATCTACATCTGTTCTAGTGAGTATTTTATTCCTCACACAACAGCTTATACAATCCCAGCAGGCATAGCTGTGTCCAAACAGCTTGTTTCAAAATTGTTGGCAGAAACCCATGTCATCTGAAGTGTTAACAGTGATATCATAAACCACATGTATTGGTAGTTTCTAGAAGAAACAGTTTGGACCTATATGTCACCCAAGAATGTGCATACCAAGTAGATCTGGATGGGCAAAGGGCAACCTGAAGGCTGTCAGATCAGCCTATCAGGCCACGCTTGTTTCAACAACAAAAAAGGTGAGTTGCTTGTGCAATTCCCTGTAACATTTAACAGGTGAAAACTGGGACACCCATGGCCAAGTGACATTAGTGTTTGGTCAAGATGGCAAAAGTTATTAATGAAGAACACACAGGCTAGAAGAGGTTGCAGAAGTTTGCTTTTGCCTGAATATGCTGAGAAGGATAAGATTCCATTCCCTCCTCTCCTTTCCATCCTGAGTGCAAATTATTTTTGCACTTTGAACTCAGAGGGGTTGCAGACTGCCAGAAATAGTGCAAATTGAGTCCACTTTTAGGATTAGCATTAGTGCTAGGGAATCATGGGAACTGTATTTTATTGTGGCACCAGAGCTCTCTGACAGAGAAGGCTCAATGTCTCAGGAAAAAAACAATCCCCATTTGCACTATTTGACTCAATTTGCACTATTTCTGGCAGTCTGCAACCCCCCTCAGTCTGCAGCAACTGAAGTAAGCTGAGGACAAAGAGGGAAAGTGGGAGAAGGAAGGAGAAACACGGACATTTTAAAAACAGCCGCAAAAGTGGCATGACAGAAGTTTAATCAGGACTATCCATGCCAAATTGGGACAGTTGAGGGTATGCTCTTCAGGAAGATGCAATTCCCTTTAAATTAATAGGGGGTCCTGCCCTATTTAACGTTTTCTAAACAATACCTGTGGAACTCATACCCTTCTAGTTTAGTTTTGTTATTGGGAACTATTTTGGGCAATCCACATGGCCGCCAGAAGATTCAGAGGAGCGTCTGGGCCCTCCACCCTGGGATAGACAATAGTTTTACAAAACAGATATGCACACACATACATGGATAGATATGGAATTCAAAAACCTAGCCATGTTAGTCTGTAGGATCAGTATGTAGAGAAATCTTGTAGCACCTCTGAGACTAACTGAAAGAAGTTGGCAACATGAGCTTTGGTAAACTAAAGTCTACTTCCTCATCCAAATGCATCTGAGAAAGTAGACTTAAGTCTACGAAAACTCATGCTGCCAATTTCTTTCTTTCAGTTAGTCTCAAAAGTGCTACAAAATCTCTCTACGCATGGATAGATATGGTGATCTAGAGAGGGAGAAAGCAGGTATGGCATAATGTTTGGTGTTGGACTAGATTCATAAAGCTTCTTGGACAGTGGTGGCAAACCTATGGCATGCGCACCAGAAGGGGCACTCAGAGACTTCTCTGTGGGCAGGCACACTGTCGCCCCAGCAGAGATCTCACCAGAGGTTGTTACTAGAAAGCCAGAGGGATACAGCACTTTGCGATAAATAAGTGGATTTTGGATTACAGTTTGGGCACTCAGGGCCAGTACAGACTGGCCAAAAGGGCTGGCCTGGGGCTGGAGTCGGGGCATGGCAACTGCACGCTGGCTGCCCCGACTCCGCCCCATGTCGTCCTCATACCACCCACCTGTTAGGAAGGATCTGATTAGGGGAATTTATAATTAGAAGAACCAAACAAAACAGGAGACTTACACCATGACTAATCCAAAATGGGAGGGGGGGGAACTGGTAGGTATACTATAAATCACTAAGTACCATTATCAATGAATACCACAGAGCTGAGACATTTCTTATTAAATATATATATCTAGTGACTAATCAATGCAACAATTACAAAGTAATGACAACAACCATATAAGGATATAAAATTCTGCAGGGGATAATTCTTCTATTTAATCCAAAATTAATGATATATAATTATTATCCCAATGATGCAAGTTTGATGTCCACTTTGACAACAATAGCAATATCCTGGTGAATCACAATAAATCAGTTTGCAGCAGATTATGCTGAAATGGTTTTCCAGTAAATCAACTTGCAGGAGATTTTGCTGAATTGGTTTTTCAGAATTGTGGTAACTCAGGGTGGTAGCATGTACCAAGTAATTGAAGCATTGGTAGCATAAATAAAGAGTATTTCTGTCACTGGTAGCAGACAGGTACCTCCAGAGTATTTGTGTGGCCGTTTCAACTCCAATGTCTTCTTCAGTAATAATATAATTTACTATTCCGGATTATAATTCCAATAAACTATTCCATGCTTCTAAATATATGAAATTGAGATACATTAGTGACAATATATACAATAGTCACAAAGCAAAATCACCTCAAATTAACACTACTTGTACATATCCATTGCTTACCCATATTCTAGGTCATCATCAGTTTACAAGAACCAAGTCCATGATTACAGACTAGTAGTAAGTAATGAACTAATATACTCTTACTGTTAAATATCCTGCAGGTGGTTAATACATACATTGAATTTCTTATAGGAACATGAAACTATGGAGAAGTAATCTGAATCTCCCAACATGTAAACCTAAGAACAGGCTGAGATACATCTTAATACATTACATATATAAATAGGATTTTACAGTAATGTAAAGAGAACCAGTGTGACAATTAATAAGTAAGAATTTGCAAACTCATGACCAAAATTAACCTATATCAACCATTTAAATTATGTACCTCTAAGGCTACAACAATCTATTAAGACCCCAAATTGTAACTATATAATACTAGTATTACAGAAAAACTGACAAGTCAAGACGTTCATTCAAGCCCTCAGGTTTACTTGAGGCTAATTTGTGAATCCAAGATGCCTCCCTTTGTAAAAGTTTAGTTTTCATTAGTATTCATTAGTCACTATATATATATATATATATATATATATATATATATATATATATATATATATATATATATATATATAATATGAAATGTCTCAGCTCTGTGGTAATCATTGTTAATGATACTTAGTGATTTATAGTATACCTATCAGTTTTTTCTCCCATTTTGAATTTATAATTAGCTCAAAATATGCAAGAGTGGAGTCCTAACAACACCCTTCGAGACTGGGGTACTGTAGTGTATATCGGAAGACTAAGAGATCCCACAAGGGATGACACTGAGACAGGCTTCTTCAATTAAGGTCTAAATATTTATTAAAAGGGAAAACTGCACACATACAAATATGACACATGCACTCACACAGCACACTAGAAGCAAAGGAGTGAAAGCAGGAATAGATCAAGATGGACCAGACTACAGGAGATACTCATTTCCAAAGGCCTCTCCAGGATCCGCTGTGGGCATGGATGATGATGATGATTGATGATAATGATGATGATGTACGGCACCAAGATGGGGTAAGGGATGGCCAAGGGAGCTATGATCAGAGTGCAAACTGATGTGGAGCCAAGATGCACTCTAAGAATAGCACATGGAGTCTCAAAATCTAGGGATTTATATAGGAAATATCTAGCCTCTGGCTTGGCTGAAGCCTAGACAAAGGCGCTGATTGCCTGGGTTTTGTTAAGCTGAGGTGTGAGGATGACCTTGACAATACACTCGGATCTTGACATAATCAAGCAGAGAGACTAGAGGGAAAAGGCACAGTTAGGTGTAAGACTCAGGACAAGCAAGCACTATTGTGTTGTCCTCTAAGGGTGATGGTCCTTCCCCTTTGGCAACTCCCAAACCTGTCTGGCAGGGAATTTTCCAGTTGTCTGGCAGACTTTTTCTTGTGCCTACCTGACTTAACATCTTGGGGCTTAAGGCTGACATCCCACAGAGGTCAATTCGGTGTCATAGAGGGAATTCCATATGTATGCTAGCCAATAGACAGTGGGCAGCGTCAGGATGCTCCCTTGGTGCAGAGTTTAGACACGCTGCACCAAAGT